ATTGTTTATTCAAATTAATTAATTAATTTCTTCGTCTAATTATACTTCAAAAATTTCACGTTTTGAGTTCACACAATTTTTAATTCTTTCTTAAATTGACCAATGATAGATTATTTACTATAGAAAAATTTCAAGATCACCAAAGTTCTTTACATCCTATAAATGATTTGAATGATTTTATTCCTGACATTCGATACAGAAAAGAGGATCTTTAAAGCAGGAACTATCATTACATATCCTATTAATTTGTTTTTTTTATGCTCCTTGCACCTTATTTTTAATATGAAATTGCTCATTATTTTATTAATTATATGATAATTATCCTTAAGTAGATAGATTTTAATTAATCATTGTAATTCTATTAAACTACAGAATAATTGTATTTTTCATCAATCAATTAAAATAATAATATAAAAAAATAATCTGCCATTTTTTATGATTGTTTTCATCAATTACATACAGATTTTTGTGTAATCATTTATATTTATAAATGTCTTGAATTATGGATTCATTCTGTATTTTAAGAATTCTCTATAATATCTATTCCAATAAATCAAAAGTTAATTAAAATAATATGTAATAAACTGTCTTCAATTTCTAGAGTTGTGAATGCAATAAAGAAATAATCATCAGAATTAAGATTGGAAATTCAATGATGGAGTATTCTTTTGTATAAATATTTTAATTTAATTATTTTCTGATGTCAATATTTTTAAAATAAGAAGTATTAAACTCTAAAATTTTTAAATAAAAGATTGAAATGAAAAATAACTATGCAAACTAATCAAGTCAGAAGGCTTGATTTATAGATGGAAATTAATAATAACTTAACTGCTATAGAAAATTTGTTATATGAAAATAAAGAGAAAATAAATCAATATTTTGTGTTTAATTTCTACATAATTACAATACTCAAATGAATTATCAAATCAATTAAAACAGGGAAAGTACCCATAATCATCAATTTCTTTGATTTCTTTAGAAAGTAAATATTGGCTAAATTTTGGAAATCATAATTTCAAGAATTGATAATTATTAGTCAGTTTGAAAAAAAGAAACATTATAAGGTTGTGTATACAATTTTGTTAAACTAATTGTGAATACTTTTCCTGATATCAATCTGAACTATTCAGATAATTTAATGTAATAACTATAAGGAATGGGTTTCTCGAATGCATAGTGATTGATTATAGTTTAAAATTCATTTGCTCTTATGGTTAGGTCATAAGCGAAATGAATCATATAGATGCTTTTTAGTTGTTGCTATTGATAATCAATATCTTTATTCTTGTAGAGTAAACGTTGGTAGAAACCAATTAATTCACAGGTTTATTCAACAAGAAAATTACAGACAAAAATTTTATTAATTTTCAAAGGTTTAATGGCTAAGAGTGCTATCTTTTGTAACTTATTCATATCGTTTGATTATTTAAACTAATTTATTTCAGCTTTATTTATTGTTTGGTGGTTATTATTTAATCTCTAATGTTATTAAATTGATTTAACTAATTTCTAAAGTGAATTGAATTACATTAAAGCTTTTATAGATTTAAATTAAAGGTGCAATCGTAATGTACAATATTATTTAGATTGAAATTCCTAAAATTTCTCAATAACTCTTTTGAAGGTTTCCTAATTCAACTAAGTTTTCAGATTGATGAATTAATTGTAAATTTCTTTAATTGAATTATATTCATTGAGCAAAGCAGTAGAATCTTAGAGTTATTTCTCAATATCATCTACTCTTCTAATTTAATTCTTGTTTGTATTTGACAACATGACCCAGAATTACTTGAGTCAATGGATTATTAATGGCCTTGTTGATTTGAAAATTTCTTTGTAAAAAGTCTAATATTTGTATTAGATTAAAGATATAATTAGGATGTTATTTATATTTGCACTTGAGACAAAGAGGGAATTGTCTTTGCATTTTGAATTCATGCAAATTGGTACAATAGGCTTTTTATCATGTTTGTAATTGGGACATTTATTGTTGTACGATATCATTCGATGTTCACATTATTAAAAATANATTCTAGAGAAGTCTTCAAGCTAGTTGGTTAAATTAAATGTTGGGTTGATTTAAAGAGCTCTCTAATTTGCATCTCAAAAGGTTTAATGTAAGATGTTTTTTAATTATCAATAAAGTTTAAATTACTCTTTTATATTTTCCCTCCATGTTCAACTGTTATGTAATGGTTTCCGAAGGTTTACATTATGCTTTCCCATAAACAGTTGATTTATAAGATTTAAATGTATATCATTATAAAGCAACGTTTTCTATATCATTGAATACATTGTTGGGTAAGTTTGGTAAAAGAGAAATGCCTTGGTCAAGGTTTAAAATGAATTATTACTTAATAAAATAGGGGCTACGGTCAATGAGTATCTGATACTTTCTTAACATTGTTAATGAGAAATTAAATTAAGAAAAATAGATGGGGAAATTTACAGAATTTTTTAACAGAACTGCATGCAGATCCATATGATATATCGAAATTAATAGTTCATCTATAAAAAGTCGTTTGACAATAACAGTTATTTGATTTTCTCTTGGAAAGAAGAGCTAGTTAGATCCTTCTCATATTGCTGATACTACCAAAATGCTTCTTCTGGTGACTTCCAAAAAGGCACTAGATAGTGGCACTTAAGACAGATTTTAATCATTAAGGTCAAAGGAATTCAGGAACTGATTGGAATAAATACAAAAGTCAATTCTCATTAAGGTTATCTTTAAGAAGATTCAGGCTAATGTCTTCAGGTTTACCCAGAAAGGAAAATTAAGAAAAGAGGTAAGGTTAAGCTTTGATGTATTTGTAATAAGTATAGTGTAGTTGTAATGAATAGCAATTAAAGTTAAGTATAAAGTTTAAGCTAGAATTAGTTTATTAGAAAGATAGGCTCCTTTATATTAAGCTCATTACATACTAATATAGCTTCATTATTTTTCACTTGTTCTACTTATTAGTAAGATATGTTTCTTCGGGTTCATATATTATCCCACTTATACTAGAACTATACATCATTAAGTGATAATGCGAAGTAGTAATAGTTTTAAAAATAAATTTAAATTTTATACAAATTCTATTCAAAGCCCCAAAAAGCAATAAATGCTGAATTTGTAAACAAGGAAGCATCTTCTAATACTTTTTGTAATTTTCTAAAATAATTCATAGACGGAACATTCAAAAATAATTACATTTAATTAGTAATGGATCATTCATAATCTAAATCTCTAATAGATATTCTTTCTATTGGTTTTGAATTCTGTAATCGATCATTTATTTTCAGATATTCAATATTGTCTTTAGATTAACATCTCATGTTGGATTGCAATTAAACCTCTTCCTTTATTCTTCTTAGAATCATCCAGATATAAGAACGGTTTTTTTGATATTTCCTTAAAAATGGGAAATGTTAAGTTATTTGATCATTAGGTAATGATCACTATGAAGACAGCTAATTTAAAACGATTACAATAATTAAATATATAATATTAATTTTAATAGAGATAGAGAATGCAAGTTAGATGTACTTGAGTTGATCATCAAAATCAATAAATAATAGGGATTTGCATAGATATTATATGCCGAAATTAGAGACCCTATTGTAATTTTGCTAGCCTCTTCATGGCAAACATCTTTAAATGTTGATCTTGTAAATGAAAGGATTTAACAGAGAATCATTAAAATTAAAATGTCTTTAACAATCCCCAAGAGCTTAAAGTTTTTATTGATAGCCTGATAAATTAGTTCTACACTTATTATAACTTTAACATTAATTAGATCCCTGAATTAGGATTATCAAGGTTTGATAAATTCATAAAAGATTTATGTTAAATACAAGATTAAGAAAATGTGTTATTTTTACAACTTAAACAATTAATTGAATAAGTAAAACCAATTATAAACAAAATACTGAAAAAAATGAAGAATTAATCAAATTTGAACTAAAATAATACTTAACTTTCAACAACCAAATTAATTTAAGAATAATCATAGCTTTTAATAAATTAAAACATTCAAATTTGAACTCATCAAATAAAAGTCAATTAAATAAAAGGAAAGGTGTTATGCAGTTGCTTTTAATAAAGATTGCTCAATTGTAGCAACTGGATGTTATAGTTTAACAAAAATATATGAATTCATAGAAAGAATGTTGAAGTAAAACAAGTCTTATATTAACATGATAGTAATGTGACTACTTGATATTTCATGAAAAGATCAAATTAGTTAATATCTGGAAATGAGAACGGATCTACTTTGATTTGGTTAATGAATCATCATAATTATTGGTTTGGTTCATAAACAATTAAACAACACTATGATCGTATAAATTTTTTAATTATGAATGATAACGTAGATATTTTTATATCAAATAGTGATGATAAGACTATTAGGTTTTCGACAAAGCAATAGGAATTGATCTGTTAATAAACAATAACAGATCATAAAGATTGAATTTATTAATTAAGTTTAAATGAAAAATAAAATAAAGTTATTTCTAGTGGAGGGAATAAATTAATATTAGTATTTGAATATTCAGAATAGAATACAAAGTGGATGGTAATATAAAATATTGAATTTGATTTTTAAGGTTTGCGATTATGTTTATCATAGATAATCTTTTCACATTTCAATCTTATAAAGGCAATCAAATGTATGTTTATGAGATGAATTGTGTGACTAAATAGTTCACGAACACTAAATATATTACTGTAAATAAAAGTGATGATGATTATACATATTCCCTTAATGTTATATTAAATCAAAATAGTTCCTTGTGGGCAAGTGTAATAATTTTATCAATTTAATAAGAAAGACAGATAATGATGAGTTTCAAGTTGAGTAAGCTATTCAATTTATAAAGAATGCTTATTTGGGCAAATGATTGATGATGGAAAATATTTGATTACTTAGGATTAAGCATCGAAAGAAATATAAATTAGGAAATGCATCCAAGAATGACCATTATTAAATTATATATATGAAATTTTGATATTTATGAATTTTTCTTCAAAAAATTTATTTGATTAATTCCATAACTTTCATTTTAACTTCCAAACCTCCTTTTCACAATAAAGCCGAAAGCCTTTTTATATCGGATATAGTAATCTCTCTGCTACTTTCGTCAACAAACTCTCTTAATTACCCTGATTGTGGTAAAATTGATTAAATCTACTGATATGAGCTTATTCTAATAACTTTTCCTAATTACATCATTCTAATCTCATAACTTATTACATAATTATTTTGAAAATTTTGAATCCCCCAAATAGAAATGACCCTCATTGATTCACTATATATTGCTTGAAAAGTGAGTAACATAATTTGATGATATATATGAATTAAATTTAATTTAAGAGACTTTTTCAATTGAAAGAAAAAATCCTTTCTTTAATTCCCACTTTGTCCTAAATTTATCTCTTATAAGTATTTCTCTTTAATTTAGTATTCCTTTCACTATAATATAAGAAAGGAAATATCTTCATTGAAGCTATTTCAACTAACAACAATTTGAATTGTTATTTTCGAACATAACTTGATTGAAATTATATCTCTGGTAATCTTTACATAGGTCCAAGGGTATGAGTGAACATTCCAAAAGCTGAGATTTCACTAACAAGATACTCTAATTCTTCAGTTTAAAAAGACTTAATTATCTGATATAAAAAGGTTAACATAATGTGAAATACATTATTAATTCTCGAATGCCCTCTATATACTTTTCAATTGATTTACATTTTTTTCTAGAGATGGTAATCCCTAAATGTTAAATATACTATTCTTAGTAATTTTGCATTCTTATAATCAAATTATATAATTAAGACGAAGCCCTCATTTATAAGTATGGATAAATAACTATAATATCAAAATGTTAAATTTTTAACTCAAATACTTTTGGAGAATTTAGATTTAACAAAAAATTAGAATTAAAGATTTGCCAATTTGATAATTATCTAACACTTAATTTATTTATATTTGAGAGAAGCCATTTCATTAAAAAATGGCAGTATGTTTCCAAATATTATTGCATTGAGGAAAGCATCTAGTGATCACAATACAAACTCAATCATATCATAATCATAATCAAATCACAAATATATTACTTTTAATCTTTATTATTTCAAAATATAGATGGGATATCAAGTTCAAATGCTAAATATGTAGAAAAGTATAATTTAAACTGGAGTAAAATGCCAATAATTTGATTAAATGTAGAATATTCCTTATTAGATATTTAAAAATATGAATATCAAATAGCAAAAATAATAAAAGCATAAATTAATTAATTTATTTTCAAAATTAAACAGTTAATCTTCATTTTTCAAATAAAAATACAAATCAGATGCCTTAGATAATTTTAGTTAGAAATATCTCATTCTTGAAATCTGTTAATAGATCAAATTTATTAATGCTCTAGTTTTGACGTTTCTAGGATATTAGAATGAATACTTATTTAAAATAGAAATATATTTTTTTAGGTAATCTCTCGATAAATTTTATCGTAGAGTGTTAAAAAAACCAATAATTTAAAATAACTATATACTATGAATACTATTAAAATGGGTTTCACCATCAAAAATACTTGTACCATGATAATTTTACCCTAACAAAATATTTGCCACTTAGGGCTAATTTAGGAGAGGTTTACTTTTATTTTAGTTTTTCATAGCATTATAATAAAAATATCTACTTTATTAAATTGCAAATTTTTAGGTAACTTTAATTTTGGTAGCAATATTCATCTGGCCTTTTTAATTCAAAAATGAGATTTGTTTTGTAAAAGGTAGATTTTTATGATGAGAATGAGTCCTAAGACTGTTAATAAATAAGCATCAATATACAAGCAATATCTTAAAGAATAAGTATCAAACTACGAGAAATATTCAAAAAAAAAAGGTTGCCTAATGTAGGTAAAATGTGTTATATTACTGCTATTATTTCTGGAGAAAAACCCATAAAAAACAAGTCTTATCTAGATGAAAAAAATGAACGTATCATAAAGCAAGACCATTTGGAGCGTAGGATAACCTCGACTACAGATAACAAAGATTTGTTAAGAATTCAATAATTTGCCAAAGTATACACTTAATCGAAGTGAATCAAACACTTAACTATAAAAATTCTGTTATTATTATACAGGATTTCATTTATAACGAAGAAATTGGTTAATATTATATCAATATTAATTCCTCAAGTATAAATTAATATTAATGTATGTCATTCAAAGATGGTGATGACACTTAAAATTATTTTCAAAATACTTGGCAGAGTAGTTTCCGAAGACATGTATGTAATTGAAAAAAACCTCAAAAAGGAGAAACTTTATTTTAATATAGCATAGTAATTGTTTTCAAAATATACTCATACATATGAGTACCAGTATATGATTTTATGATTTGAAAAATATTTTAGATTATAATTTAATGTCGTTAATAAGATAAATTATATAAATTCAAGTTTGATTTAGTACAAGATGGCTCATCTCATGGTTAGTGATTATTTAAGAGCGACTGACTGAGCGAGCAAAGCCTATTATAGGAAGGAAATTTAACTTTGTTTAACCACTGATATTAAGCTGTACTTCCTAAAAATGAGAGGACAGAGCCTACCCATTAAAATCAGTGGTTTCCATCAAAATGCAGAATTTATGAATTAGAAGATCAACTTAAAATTAGTTGTTAATGATGCTAGTTGCTCTCTTTCTCTCTAGCAAAGCATAGTTTAAAAGTAAGACTTTGCAATGATGATCCATTATCGCACATTTTAAACTTCTACAAATAATTAGAAACAATCTCGGCATTATTATAATTTTGAATATTGTAGTTATTAAATTTATGATACTGAAAGAAGAATTAAATTTATTTCACAAATCACGGATCTCATAATTATAATATCAAATTTATTCATGACAGGTAAAATTGATAATTTTTAGATTTAAATTCTGTTCTATTTACAACTAATAATTTTGTAATAATACCCTTGGCATTGGCAGAGTTTGTCTTTTGATGACAACTGTCAAAAACATATTCATGCTTAGGATTATCATAATATACTCAAGCGTCAAATAAAACCTTATGTCTATGGAATCAAATTTCTTTTTCATGGAATAATGCTAAAAACTATTCTTTTAAGTTAATTGCTTGTCATTCACTTTATAAAAAATAATAATTTTCTATACTTTCTCCTATCTCATCGGAAGTAGTTCCGTGTATATGGAATATCACTAATATATATATGGGGTACACCATTTAATTGTATCTCAATTTTCCTTTTTATTTTTATGGATTTACTACTAACCAAGTAAATATAGCCAATCTCAAAGCAAACTACTTCTTCTCCAATGCCTTAAAGATATTGAGATGGAGGTCCACTTCAACAAATTATCCTTCAGATTTTCAGCCTCACTCAGCTAATACAACATAACTTAATTTATATATCTCAATATTCATAAAGGATGAATATCAAACAGTCCTCCCTTCATGTGCATACAACTTAATAACCTTTGTTCATTCTCCATAAAACAGTCCTAAATTACATTTAAGCATTAATAGAAAATCCTGGTCTTTTGCGCATTGAATTTTGCCAACCCTATTCAGAAATAACTCTCTTCCTCAATTGTTGGATGTGGAAGTATCTTCAGTGCCATATCTTCTTTTGAATTGCTTAATAGCTTTAGTCAATTGTCTACAATTTATTGCCGATTACTCTGGAATAAGAGATGATAAATATGAAATGAGTTGAAACATAAGAATACATGGTTATTGTGTTTGGAACAATCATTAGTATTAAAATATTAATAATTGCAAATATGCTACTGTATTTGCAATTCGCAGGTTATAATCCAAAAGAAAAATTAAATCTCTCTTTCAGTTATTGTATCGTACAATAATAAAATTCATATCCTGATCTATGAGATTTCACCTAAGTATTAAACTCCATCACTAGATGATATTGCTCTTAACTACTGGGATTCCTCCTATAATCATAGTCTTATGCTTTCTTCTCATTAGCAGAATCCTTCATTTACACTATATATATATCATTTAGAGAAATATTATGGTATAATGTTCTTCTAACCGCTTTTGATTTATTATTATAATAATTGAAATTTTAATATGAGAGTATTTTCATTTACAAATTTAATAAAGATGTTTTTCTTCATCCCTATACCATTTCACTTTAAAATCTCTGTCTCATATATAGAAATTTGATTTAGAAGTTATTTGAATGTCTAATTTGTCATTAAGTTTGATCTATATTTATAGAAAAATTAAACTAGGTACAAATAATACATATCTTATAAACTAAAAGTTGTGCCAGATTCTTAAAAATAACAGAAAAATAATAAATAATAAAGATTTTTGCCTTACTATATCTATAAACTTATTTAGTAAAACTTAAAAGTCTTAAGCAGTTAACCACCTTAAGGATTAAATATTTTATGATTCTCATGATTTTCACTAAAAACTAAGCAAAAAAAATTAATTCGAAAAGTGAGCAGGTGAATTTTAAAAAGCATGTGTTACAATAACTAGTAAATAATTTAAAAAAAAATTATTACAAAGCTATAACCATTCTATGTATTAAGACTTATTTATTCAATCTTAACTCTATTTTTCTTGCTTAATATTGAATAAAAAATGCAAGTGATCAAAATTCATATCTGATATCATCTCAAGATTGCAGATTTCAATTGAGTAAAATTTATCTTAAGCATCCAATATTCCATTATATTATTGCATTTCACTTGAAATTTCGTTTGCCTGAGATTGTAGTATTTTATTTTAATAAATACCTTCTTATAATCTTGACCTTCATCAATCAAGAGTACCATTTATACTCAGGTTGTTTCTAGAGCCTTCTCCATAAAAAAATCCAAAAAAAGTGTTGATATTTTGACTGCTATTCCATAAGAATTGATATTCTATTAATTACGTTTTTTTTTAATTGTCAACATTACTAAACTGAAATTCAACTATAAATCTTTTTGGCTAACCCAAGCTCAGGATTAATAAGATTTTCCATATTTTTTCAAGAGAAATATTTCTAAGACAAAATTTCTTATATTGGAATTATTTGACAAATTAAATAAATTAAAACCCTTGAATTCATCTTCTAACAGATTCAAGTTTTCTCCAAAAAAGAAACTGATTAAAATTTAATGGATGTCAAAAATTTTCAATATAAATTCCAACGATACACATCGGCATTAAAAGATTTGATAAAATCCTATACGCTTAATTACTCTTTAGGATTAATGTATTACTCAAATTAGGGTTTAAGAAAAATATTACATATCATCCTTTATTCATAAAGTCTTTAAAATTAAGAGTATATCCAAAGATCAATGTTGTTTGAGCAGAGGGCTAAAAATGCTGCAAAAATGATACCCAAAAGAAAATTTACGATAACGATTATTTGATAAATTTTTTTCAAATATCTGTAAAGATTTTAATTGAATTATTTTGTTAATTTTTAGCTTAAATGCATGATTTTTCAAAATGAGTAGATACCTCCTTGTATGGGGAATTACTTTATAAATGCTTTAAAAAATAGTACTATTAAATATCTTAAAGTTTGATACTTTCTAATTACAAATTTCAGTAATATAATTTTTTTCATCCTTGTTCAGATCTGCAACCTATTTAAAATTTCTTTATTCAATTAATTTTAAAGCTGCAAATTATTCTATTCTAAATTTTTGTGATATTTTATTAATAACTTTTACCAATATAAATTAATCAAGCAGAAAACTTTCTAATAACTGATTTCCCTTGGTTTCATTTATATTTCATACTTATGAAAGGTCTTTTTATTTTGAAAATTCTATGCAATTATCCAAAATATAAATGTAAATTACATTCAAGCTAATTACACTCTCAATTTTTATCATATAATCTGTTATATTAATGATTGAAAAGTCTGTATTAAATGAGTTTATTTTACAGTTATATTTTTATTTATTTATTTGATACTTTTCTAGAATTAAGCATTTCAATTCTCTCTTTTAATCTGCATCAGTTTGTTTGATATTATTTCTCTGATTAATAGCAACACTCCAATCACAAATAGAATGTATTCATGGAACATAATTTATAATTGTTAAAAATAATTTTCAAAGTCATTAAAGTATTATCAATCTAATTCGTTCATTCTCTCCTATTCAAGATTATTATACTTCGTAAATTTTTGAATTCTCAAACTCTTGAATTTATTTTTTATATTTGGTTTTTTTAAAATCTATTTTCTTGTTCAAAACTTAATTTAAGAGAGTGATTTCTTATACACAATAGGCTATGTTCTCGATCTTTTAAAATAACCATAAGCTTATTTACTATGAGGGATGTGTTGAAAATTGTATGATACTAATACATTTTGAAAGAATTTACTTAAGATCTTTGATACACAGTGTTGTATCGAACTTTAAACAGTTGATGGGAAAAATTCAATATAAATACAACATTAATCATAAACTTTTTATCTGGGTAATGTTCTTCATCAAACCCAAAAGCCTGCCCACATCTAATAATAATTAGATACCATACAAAATATGTGTATTAGACATTTTTACTAATTGCAAAAGTATTACTTATTAAGGGTTTATCTTAAAATATCTAATTGCCATCACTTTAAATATATAACCTTTGGTTAAAACTAAGCATTATTTTTTTTGGGAAGATAGAACTTCTTCAATATGATGCCCTTTTTAAGCTGAATCAATTGATCCAATTTCTGCATTTGCCTCTTCTATCCTTTAATTGAGAAGTTCATTCGAGTATTTTAAGGATTATTTATATAGATTTACTAAACACCCTCTATATACTGATATAAAGGGTAGAAATTTTGAAGCACTAAATAAATTTGTGAATTTTCAGTTTCCCTTGCAAATTTTGTCGAACATCTACTCTTGAAGACGATGAAAGTTAAGAAATTCATAATAAGCATTTATTGGACAAGTTAAAAATATACTCAAAAGACTATAGGCCGTATGTCTTTCGTTACTAATATTTAATTGGAGTTATTACTAACTAAATAGAATAATTTGAATTCCACCAGAAACTTAAGAAAAGATATATCTTTCATGTTAAAATTTGTAATATCTCCTTCTGTTGATGAAAACAATCAGTAGTCCTCATTTTTAATTATAAATCACTGATTGTCTTTACAAGGGAAAGTATTTTTATAATTACATCAGTGATTATTGTAGAGGTGTTTCAATAGCAATATTAAAGAAAGTATACAAAAATTATTGATATCTTTTATTTATATTTTAATGTAAAAGAAGTGAGCAAATAATAGAAACTGTAATTCAAAGGGATATTTTAAAATACCTCTTAATTTTAATTAATCAAATTCCATCACACAAAATGATTTAGCAATTTTTACACCGATAAATTTACAAGAAAATATCATGTTCATCCACTGGAATTTATTATCTAACCATTGAATAAAGAAGGTTTTTTGGTACTTAAGTACTTCGACTCATAAGAGAATGTTAAAATTCATTTTTAAACTTTTATTTGTAACTTGTGAGAAGAAAAATCATATTTCTGTTATCATTAAAATAATAACTAAGAACTAAATAAATAATAATTTATTTTTTTTTGTTCTTAACCTTTAAATTTAGCTTTATTATAGAAATTTCCCATTTTAATAATTAATGAGAGAATAACATTCGAGCAATTTAAACCGAATTTATTTCAGGAAAAATTAACAATCAAAAGAAACTCTAAATTTTAGAATGATATTCGCAGAATTACATTTAACAAAAATAAATTGAGGGATCAAATATCTAAAATTTAATAATATAGAATGCTTTTAAATTCTTAAATAAAAGATTGAAGATCATAGCGCCAAAGAAATCGAGATCTAATAATGAACTAGAAATAAAATATAGTATTCTTACTTTAATTATCTAAAAATCTCTATTATTGTTCAATAAAAAAACTGAGTAATTATAACTCTGACTTTTTCGCTTGATCAAAGTTTAACGTAATCTTATAAGAAAGACTGAATTACTAGAGGATCAGGATCTAAGGGATTGATAATATCAAAAATAAGTTGAAAAATATTTCAATTTAAAATCAAAATTTATATATATCATGATAGATAAAAATATTTTTAGAACATCATTTGATAATAATTAATGATCATCAACTGGGAAAGGGATTAATTAAGTTATAAGATAATATAGTAAGAGGTTAGGATAAAGAGCTATATAAACTTATGAAAATCAAATTAAAGAAACTTTGAAGGAACTGTACTGATAAAGAGGCTATGCTTAATTCCAATAAGAAAGGCAATTAATCTTGACCAAGATTCTTCAACATTAATTTTCATATGCCTTTCCATATAATCCCTACGTAAATAAAGTTTATGATTGTATTATTTTTTCTATGAAACGAATCTGTATTTAGAAGTATAGAACTAAACCAAATTAAAGTGGGTTATATTAAACATCTGTTCCTAATAAGAATGACATATTAGAGTTATGCTTAAATTTCCAATCAATGGCTAAAATAAGTTCAAATTATAAAAAATTATCAACTAAAGCATTATATAGCATTAGATTTCTATAAAATAAATTTTATCCCCACCTTTCAGTTAGCCACTAAGAGTTTTTATGGATGAAATTTGTCTTATTTAAGTTTAATTTTAGTAAAACCTTATTTTATCACTACTACTTTAGCGAAACAACACTAAATAAGATGCCCCCAAAAGAAAAAGATATTATTAAATAAATATAAGATTAAAATTAATATTTAACGGCAATTTTTTTAAAATATCTGAAAATAAAATTCTACCTATAAAAACACCTGAAGCAAAGTATTTTTTTAATCTGGTTGTTAGATATTGTTAAGCAATAAAATAGAATTTATTGTTTGTTTACATCATAGATGAATTAACTGCCCTATCCATTCCATCAGTATCTCTGAGTAAGAATAGAATTTACAAGAGATAGAAAAAAAAAGAAAATTACAAACAAATTCTATGATTTTAAAAACTATAAATGAGAAGAGGATAATACTTTTTAATAATTTTTGAAGCTATCTTTAATAATATTTCGTTGTGTAGCACTATATGCCTGATGATATAACTCTAAAAGTGGTTGTTATAAATAACATTAAACCAATTAACATTAATAATTAATAAAATATCAAAGAATTCAATAGTATAAAACTTGATTTTANTTCTTAAATAAAAGATTGAAGATCATAGCGCCAAAGAAATCGAGATCTAATAATGAACTAGAAATAAAATATAGTATTCTTACTTTAATTATCTAAAAATCTCTATTATTGTTCAATAAAAAAACTGAGTAATTATAACTCTGACTTTTTCGCTTGATCAAAGTTTAACGTAATCTTATAAGAAAGACTGAATTACTAGAGGATCAGGATCTAAGGGATTGATAATATCAAAAATAAGTTGAAAAATATTTCAATTTAAAATCAAAATTTATATATATCATGATAGATAAAAATATTTTTAGAACATCATTTGATAATAATTAATGATCATCAACTGGGAAAGGGATTAATTAAGTTATAAGATAATATAGTAAGAGGTTAGGATAAAGAGCTATATAAACTTATGAAAATCAAATTAAAGAAACTTTGAAGGAACTGTACTGATAAAGAGGCTATGCTTAATTCCAATAAGAAAGGCAATTAATCTTGACCAAGATTCTTCAACATTAATTTTCATATGCCTTTCCATATAATCCCTACGTAAATAAAGTTTATGATTGTATTATTTTTTCTATGAAACGAATCTGTATTTAGAAGTATAGAACTAAACCAAATTAAAGTGGGTTATATTAAACATCTGTTCCTAATAAGAATGACATATTAGAGTTATGCTTAAATTTCCAATCAATGGCTAAAATAAGTTCAAATTATAAAAAATTATCAACTAAAGCATTATATAGCATTAGATTTCTATAAAATAAATTTTATCCCCACCTTTCAGTTAGCCACTAAGAGTTTTTATGGATGAAATTTGTCTTATTTAAGTTTAATTTTAGTAAAACCTTATTTTATCACTACTACTTTAGCGAAACAACACTAAATAAGATGCCCCCAAAAGAAAAAGATATTATTAAATAAATATAAGATTAAAATTAATATTTAACGGCAATTTTTTTAAAATATCTGAAAATAAAATTCTACCTATAAAAACACCTGAAGCAAAGTATTTTTTTAATCTGGTTGTTAGATATTGTTAAGCAATAAAATAGAATTTATTGTTTGTTTACATCATAGATGAATTAACTGCCCTATCCATTCCATCAGTATCTCTGAGTAAGAATAGAATTTACAAGAGATAGAAAAAAAAAGAAAATTACAAACAAATTCTATGATTTTAAAAACTATAAATGAGAAGAGGATAATACTTTTTAATAATTTTTGAAGCTATCTTTAATAATATTTCGTTGTGTAGCACTATATGCCTGATGATATAACTCTAAAAGTGGTTGTTATAAATAACATTAAACCAATTAACATTAATAATTAATAAAATATCAAAGAATTCAATAGTATAAAACTTGATTTTATTTAAGTATCTATAGATATAAAATACTTGTTTTGTTTAATATCATGTTATAATATCATTTAATTTTGAAAAATGAAGCAAAGAGAGTTTGGTTATAAGAAATAGATAATTTACAAGAAAATGGCAAAACAATTTATAATTCTCAGTCAAAGCCTATTTTCTCACTAATGATTTATGCCTTGCTTTAAGCCATTCTGATAAAGTATAAATTCTGAACATATAACATTTTAATAAGATATGTGTTTTGAGTAAATCGCTAGATAGGGCAAATCAGATATTCTAATTATCAGATGAGTACCTTTTATTTTATTTGGTTGGTGTTTAATTTATATAATAAATACTTTAAATTTGAAATGATTAAATCAGAAGAGTACCCAATTACAAAAACTAAATGGAATTTTCTAGATTTCAAAATACTGGGTTATAGCAGATGAAAATCCTTTGAGTTGTTCACTTCTTATTATGAAGATATTGGTCTCTCTCCTTTTTTTTGGTCTCCTGAATTAATAAAGGATAACTTTAATAGAATAGAGTCAAAAACTTTGCACTAATAATAAAATAAACGATAGAACACAGATCCTTAATTTCTTCAGATGGAGTTAGTTTTGCAGCTAGTCATTAAGTAATTTGTGTCAAATCCTTTTCAAAATCATCATTTTTGGCAGCAGAATATTGTATTTATAACAATCATACAAAAAATCAGATTAACAAAAATGAAATATCAATAATAATAACAGTATCAAAATTGTTTTAAATTTAATTAATTAAATAATATATATTAGATGATTTCGACTATCTTAATAAATAATTGTTAAGAATAAAGGTTTTCAATCAATTCGAGATGATAAGAATTTATTGGGCATTTCTTCTTATTCGTAAACATTAAATGAGTAGAGAATCAGTTCCGATTCCATATTTTTTTTTATTTTAAATCAAATAAATTTAATATTGTTCTTATTTAAGCAATAATTAAAATCTATATAATAGAAGGGCTATTAGATATTTATATTACCTTATTTATAAAAAGACGATACATATAACCTCTATATATATGCTTCTTAATACTATATATAATAACCCATCTGATATTTCAAATAGAAATTTATGAATTTTCTCTAAAAACTTTCTATGTAGCTCTTATGATATTTAATTGAGATAGCATATAAATTATACTTCCAACAAACCTAATTTTGATGTTATATGGTCTGATAGCAAATTATTATAAAGATTCATTTTAATATCTTGCAATATTAGAAAACGAATAAAGAGCTTTGGATTTACTTTAACTACATAAAATAATTATATTTTCTTAATTACATTGTAACTCTTCAATTAATTTATAATTATTTTGGATAAAAAGAATTTTTATCTAATAATATTTTGATTCTTAAATTCTCTATATTAAATGGACAGTTATTGATAACTCTGATTCCTAAACATGCACAAGATTTTTATAAATCTAAAGTATGAGAACAACAGATTTATACAAAATCACTAACTCCAGTAAATTGGAATTCAATTACATTCAGTAAAAGATTGGTTTAAGTAGTTGCAATGATCTTAAATTCATTGTAAATTATTTAATCCCGATGAAATTACTTTTATCGAAATTTAGTTTAGGCCACTTGATATGTAGAAAATTTTGGTTGATTGAATCAATTTAATTATTAAATTTAGTTATATTTATTCTCATTTGAGAGACTTTTTGCGCTAAAGTGACTAATAAATTTTCTATTTAATTTTATCAATAATTCAGCTATGCTACCATTTTTCTTTAATATCAATTGTCATTTTAATCTGAAAGCAATTCAAAAGATCAATTTTTAATTGTACTTTCGGGTGCGTTGTTTCCCAGTAATAGAGAACCTAATAGACATTTTGTAAGAGATTAAGCCTACAGATTTAAATATAGCCAGATTTAATCATAAAAGCTTTAAATTCTGCCTATATATTTTATGTAATCTAATTTACAATTCAAACTGTTCTCTCTTTGAATTTTCTAATAATTATTAGCAAGGTCTAAACTTTCTAGATGAAGCTTATTTAATTTATATTCATTCTATTAATCGGATCATCTACTCTTATTTTATCGAATAAGATAACATTGATGCATTATTTAATCAATAATAAACACATGATAATAGCTTCCAATTTTACACATATCCCAAAAAAAAAGCAAGCATTTCCAACTTCCATTATTTCCAATAACATGGATTTAATTAATGAGCAGCAATATTCAAGCAACAGATTAGCTTTTCAGGTTCATCCTTTATTTTTTTTGGAAACCAAGTCTTATTGTAAAGTTCTAAGAATAGTCTTTTTTTAATATGGCAACTCTATTGATTTTAGATTAAACTGTTAAAGCAAAATAGCCAAAATAATAGTCGACAATTTGCCCAAAATAAGGAAGGATTTCTCTAGAATTATAATTGATATTGAACTAATCCATTTCAAAATGAAGTATTTGTAGTAGTATCTGGTTCCATTTTTTTTTGCAATTAACTTTCTTAATTTATTAATCATTACAATGAAAAGGCTACCCCAAAAGTTGGCTAGTTTTAAAAATTCATAATGAAATGTGAAATTAATACAACTATATCTATTTCAAAATTGTATTTATTGGACAGCTTTGATAATATTATGATTAAAATCGATGACAATTAACTTATTATTGCAATTGTCTAAATGAATTAACAATGACAGAATATTCTAAAAACCATCACTTAAGATGAAATACGGACTACATAGCTGGTAAATTTTTTTGTAAATTTAAATTCGAAGTTGTAAATACTATTTAATTTATTGAGAATCATAATTGACTTATGTAAGGCTATTGACATTCTCCAATTTACTTGATAAAAATTTCAATAAGCAAATATTGCAATTAACTGATATGTTTCTGTTATTGTAATTCATTTATAAGGATATTACAATATTTCATAGTAATGTTTGTTGAAATACATGTGCTTCAGCAAGTATCAAATACAAATTTTCAATTATTATGTTAGTTTAGATTAACCAATTCCTAAATAAAATTGATCAAACCTTCATATTAGTTTTTAGTTATATAATTTGATAAAAAATAAATTCTTTACTGTAGATAGACACTTTGATGAATGCAATACTATCAGGTAATATTTTTTTATATTGAATATTATTCATTAAGTGCAACCATATCTGAAATAATTAAATAGTATTGTTTTTGATTAAGATGTCAAAATATTTTGAATTATTTAAAAAGAATTTAGTTCTATAATTTTCAATTTAATACTACTCTTAGAAAAATATATGATGATCCTGAAATATGATAGTAGTCAGTTTTATGGAATCCACTTCAAATGAATCCTGCAAGATTGGATTTAAATAAAGTATATATAATCTTAGCATCCTAAACAATTATATCTAATAAAAGAAGATTAATCAATGAATAATTAAAATAAAGCATAAAAATAATATGATACCAAAAGTTAGTCATCTCTCCCCACAACTCCAATAAATTATACTAATCAAATTCGATATTAACCAAAAAATGTATAACGGCCAAGGATAAACATTGCTTCATGATGATGAGAGCTGGAACTATCATTCTATCCAATTTGCTTCAGTGAAAAAAACCTCTGACATTAAAGACCCATTCTATTGAATAGATATAAAGCCACAATTAATGTTTCTAATGAATTTCAAATCGAACATAGGATTAAAAAATCCAAAAGGCTCAAACACAATTGAATACCTCTATTAAATCTATTCTTTTTATTCAAAGTAACAAGCTGTGGGTGGAGGATTCAAGTAGGGCAAAAAGAAGAAGTCAATCCACATAATCACATTATGGATTGCTATAACCCTGCCTCCTATATAGATCATGTGAATATAAACTTATTTTTCAAACTTTCTAAATGATGAGGGACAGAGAAACATAAAATAATGTGATGAAAATGACTAATAATGATTCAAGTCCCAATATCACAGGATAATCATTAAAAAATAAATTCAAAAGTAATATCAATCGGAATTCTGATCGTAATTAATATCACTTCTTTGTATGATTGTTAAGCATTCAATAATTAGAATTTAGTATAAGTTAAAAATAATTAAATGAAACTTCTTGATATACTTTCCTCTTTATCATTCTAAAATATAAATTTATTATTTAGATAAATAGATTATTAAATTTAAAATTTGATAATTAAATATCAAAAAATTTGTAACAATATAGTTAACTCATAATAATATATGAGAGTTATTAAGATCTGACATAATAGAGTTGTCTTCTTTTATTATTTGAAACATAATCTAATTCTAATTAGTTTTTTATTCAATTTTATATATAGGGTTGAACCACCTGAAAATTCTTTGTATATATTGTTAATATTACAATTATTTTGAAGTCCTCTAATATATATTAAAGCCTGTATGAGCCTTTTTGTAGATCAAGGCACATACGAGAAATTACATTAAAATTAAATTAACTTTTTACAAAATTTTCACAAATGTAGACATATTTGGAACCCTTAATTTAGAATATTAAACTGAGATCCTAGAGAAAGACTATTTCTGCTCGAGAATAATTCTATAAAGCCATTTCTGTGAAGTAGAGTAGAGTATTTTACTATCTATTTCAACTATCTGATAATGAACGCAAGAAATTAATATGCAGGGACATATTTCTTTAAATTTTATTGAAACTCCAAAGAAAAAACGAAAATTATAAAATTAATTCTTTATAATGCAAATTTATTTCCTATAATTTAATTCATTCTCCTCAGAAAATTAATTTTTTGTTGTAAATGTCACTTTAAATAAATGAATAAAAATGATCGAATTGAATAAAAGGATTAACCATGCTTGAGTTTTATCTTGGAGGCTAAGTTTCTGTTATTCTGCTAGACATATCAAATAAAACCTAATTAATCTATGCAGATATAAAAAAAAAAAAAATTATATATATTTAGATTATAATTTAAGTAGGAGAGGCTCTAGCATAATGGATAAAGTGATAGTAGCTGTACCATAGTTATATCTTTTTCATTATCAGTTATACTTTTACAGAATATTACATTTCTTAGGTGTATTTTTTCCAAGAGATTAGGGTTGACTTCTTGAACTGCATTATTCAAGATAATCAGATTTGATAAAAAAAGGAAGATGAGTAACACTGGTGGTTTTTAATATTCTTTATTCTAATTGCAGCACAACCAACTGAAGTCGTTCTATCTAGAACTCTAAAATTAATAAGCACTTTGAATGATGAAATACTCTTCAAAAGGTCTACTTTATTCTCATAATTTTATCTAAAAAAAAAAATTGAATTCTATGATTTCCTGCAAATCCTTCTCTTACATTTCGCATAATTATATTTAGCATTTGCAACATACCTTCTATCTGGTTGTATCATAGCAACAATTAAAAACAAATCATATTCTGAATTAAAAAATTACCCAATAATGATATTCATCATTTCAATTTTTTATAATTACTTGCTTACTGCAGTTTAAAAATTAGGAGGGAGTTTAGGACATTTTAAAAATAGGTGTAGGTGTAAATCTTTGTAACAAGTGTTAAATGCCAAGAATAATGGCAAGTTTAAGTTTGAGAGTCTAATATAATAGATTAAGTCTATATCTTATACTTTAGAATACTGAAGCATTTATGAAAATAAGTATAATCGAAAGATTTTGTGTTTTTAATTACAGAATAATTTTGAGTCAAACTTTATGCTGAATTGATGATCTACACCTTTTTATTTAAGATACTCTACTTATATTCTGGTTAATATCAATATTTTTTCAATAATCTTAGCTCTATATTTCAATGATAAAAATAATTATAGTAGGCTAATTTTAACTATCCTACTCGAATTACTTGAGCATTATTCTAATTTCAATAGTTATTGAATATTGATTTGATTGATGAGAAAAAAGATCAATTCAAAATTAAGAAAAACTATAAATTCTAATATTTTATTAAGTACATAAATTTTTTATCTTATCATTTTATTCTTACAAAATAAATATTCTCATTGCTTTTTAAGTATAGAGCTATTCCTTGAATATTTAATCCAATCATTTTATCATCAATGGATTCCTACTTCTAGGTTATATTCTCTTTCAAACACTCATTCTTTTAATCAAATATTTTCTAAGATTAACTCCTAGTATCTCCATTTCACAAAACTGTTCTTCCTATATAATATCTGAACCCAATCATTTGTGTTTTTGATATTTTCCTATTGCTATTCAATAATGCTAGTTGAACTCTTAGGAGCAAACAGGACAAGATTCAATAAAATTCTTAACACTTGTATAGAAAAAAGGGCGAAATAAAAACATATGAATTAATTTAGCAAGGATAATTGCAAAGAGGAAAAAGAAAATCTTCTAAACGTAATTATGAACGAAAATTCATATTACAAAAAGTTTTTTATAGTTTAAAGACTGCTCTAATTATCAAGAAAGCTAATTCTTTAAAGCAACAATACTTGCCTGTTGAATTGATAAGAGATTGAAGGAAGTAGAAATTAGAATGAGCAAATAGATTGTAGATGGTATATGGCAACTTTCCTTATGCAAGGATGTTTCATGTGCAATTATGAAGGTCATGAATTTAGCCCTGAATAAGGAGATTAAAATAGATAATACCTCTCAAAAGTTAAATTTGTAATCATATGACTGGAAGTAAATAATATTTATGGAGGTATTATGAAGTCAATGGTTTGTTGAATAATAACCTAATGAATTATAAAACAAATTTAATGAATTTGAATGTGGGGCTACATTACAGTTTACGGTTGGGCAAAGAAAAAGAAAGATTCTGGTAAATAAACCTGATAGTATTGAATTCTATCTTTTGATGTTTTTCTATTGAATTTTCACCAAACTCTTTAAAAAGAAGTATAGATATCTGCTCAAAGAATCCAATTAATTTTATAATAATGCTCTCCTTATTCTTCCTTTAGAATACTCTAAGTAATTTCTTAAATACTGATTTGATAATTCTAAGCTCTTAATGTTTTGTATAAATTAGGTTGATACTGTTTAACTCAATAAATTTTCCTTATGAAACTGCAAAGTACATAACCATAGTAATAGCTATCCTTATTCAGTTCTTAAGAGTTAACTTTAATAAATAATTGAGCATATTTTGGGAAAACCAGATCCTGATAAGTGAGCTCAGTATGTATAGCCTTTGTTTATGATATAATTTAGAAAATAAAAAACTAAAAAACTGTTTCACAACTATACATATCAGATGGATTGCACATTGTTGAATTAGGTGATTCTAATAGCTATGTAAGTCCTATTGCATGTATAAATAATTTGTTGGTTATTGGAATGTAGGGTAGAAAAAACGGCAAGATGCAGAATATTCAAATTTACATAAAAACGAAATCTGATTTCAAATGCAGGGCACAAATATGAAAAAGTACAGCTTAGATTAGGTAAATAATATGTGTTTATAATAAATCAGCTTTTGGTTAGATAGAACAAGTTTGGATAAAATATCTACTTTGAGTTTGAAACAGATAAAGTATTCTAAGGTACCCTTCTAACTTAAACAGCGAAATAGGATGGCGGATGTACTACATGATTATTATTTTCTATTTATTAAACAAATTAAACCTGTATAAAGAAGCAATCGAAATTGATTTAGAAATGTATTGACTAACTTGAGAGAGAATAAATTGAAAAGTTCTAGAAAAATAAAATTTATCAAGAATAAATATATATTAATTGTACAACAAATGAATATGAATGCCTATTAAACACAAGCTGTGATGCAGCTATAAATGAAGAAAATAAAACCATTAATAGTACCCTATTTCATTGAGATGAATATGCTTATTTGTTCAAAAACTATATATCCACATTTATGGATAATGTACAAAGTTTATAGAAGGAAGATATTTATTTAAAATTTGTGAATATGCTCCTATAAAATTAAATAAATACAATGATGTAAAGAATTAAGGTAAAATTGTTTTATAGAATCAGATAAGAAATTTGATAGGAAGCTATATTGAGAAAGGAAAGGTATTACTTAACTTCTGAAATAATATATAATGATCTAAAAGGATGGATGGAACTCACCAAATTCATGTAAATAATGAGATTATTTTTAAAATTGATAACATGAATAATTAGAACCACTTAAAAAGTATATTTTTTTCTCTAAATTAAATTAACTTCTAATTTTTTCCCTATGGAAAAACAGAGAGAGAATTTAAGGATCCTTGACATGATGGTAGAAAAGTGATGAGCTTGGGAAAACTGACCCATACATAGCAAGGTTTACACTAAATTCACCTGTTGATCGGACAATAAAACAAGGGAATCTTGCCCTGATCAGGGGATGTTGCTGTGCTAGATCACTGGGACAAAAGCAATTGCCGTGAGTGGAGGAAAAGGTGAGGAATGGTAAATATGAAGTCGGCCAATGAAAGATCGTAAGGGGGTAGAAGGAAGGGACAGGAAAATGAGTGTTTTAAGTAACTTAAAAGTCGGAGAAGGTCCATGAAGTGATCGAGAATTCAATGTGATCAAAGTTTCAGATGGCAAGAATCCGAGAATAATTAACATGGCTTCAATTTAAAATTAAAGAATTTTCATTAGTGATCCGATAAATTCTGACTATTAAAACTATAAGGTAGCAAACCAAATCTCGAGGCTCATCTCAGTAACACAGGGGCATCCACAGTTTGGGTGTTGTACAGCATTTGGAGGAGGTCCTATAGAAGATGATCATTAGGCGAAATCGTGGTGTCATAGGTGTTGTTGAAGGATGTAAACTAAAACTGGTTTAAGCACTGGCCTACAACCGTATATAACAACATTTTGTGAAGGTCGGAGTCTTGGTTGAGAAAAAAGCACTTGAGCAGGCTTCCTCTGTATATCCCTAAGTACATTAAAGCCATATCATTCAAGCTTTCTAGTCCAAGGTGGTAATCTTCAGCAAAATATATTGATCTATAAATAATAATAAGATTAATAAATAATTTTGGAGTTAGAGGTAATTTGGGGATTTAATATTAGTGAAGAAAAAAGAAATACAATATGTTATTCACTATAAAAAAAAGGAGGGAAGATTTTTTATCGAAAAGTTAATGTAAATGAAAAAGACAGGAAAATAATTTACATATGGACTGAGTATAGTTGTGAAAACCTGAATTATTATTAAAGGCCTACTTTTGAATGTTACTAATTTAGAGTTAATGGATTAACTTTGGAATATTACTAATCCATCTATTCAAATTTTTCAGTAAATATATAAGATTCATCTTATATGATGATTATTGCTCTAATTTTAGTGTAGATTAAAATGTTTGGGGTATATATAGAGTGTACATTTGGAATGAGAATTAGAGTCATAAAATAGCCACGGTGAATATACTAAACCAATTTATACTTATGATACATGATTTCTATTATTAATATATTTTAAAGATTTATGTTTTAAAATTTAATAATTCTGTCTAAAACAGACTTTTAGATAATTTTACAAATTCATAACAAGATATTTTTGAAATAATAAATTTGAAGACATTTTTTTAGCTAGAAGGGGAAATCCTCTATAGCTTGATATCTTCTTTAGCAACCAACCTAAGAAAAGTAACAATACCTGTAGGGAAAAAATTTTGACAAAATATTAATTTTGATTTATTGTTTTTAAACAAATATCAATATTGTAAAACCATTAAAATAGATGAATAATATGCCATCCGTAGCCCATAATTTAAATAACGGGAATGCAAATAGTATAAAATTGGAGTAAAGGAAACTGCTTTATAATTAACTTTTCAGCAAAAAAATTGGAGGTTTTCTTGAATTATAATTGTGCTTTGAAAGTTGAGTTGAATTTAATTTCATACCTAAAAGAGAGAAATTTAGGGGTTTATAAAGTAAAACTTTGTATAGAGAAATTTGGAATCATTATAAAGCAGCAATTAAATAATAATTAAATTATTCCAATTAGAATATTGGATAATATCATTTAGTTTACTTAAATATTTTAAAGTCTTAAGAAATTTTTAGTTAATGTCATCAATTTAAACTAAATATTTTATATTATGCTGAAAATTGAGTCACAAAACCCACCCTTATTAATAATAATTATCTAATCCTAAATTCTTAGGTTAATAGTATATACAAAAATAGTTTTTTTTCCTTATCAAAACAAATATTTGAATCATTTTACTTTTTCCATATTTGAAACAAAAATACAGCAGAAAAAGCACATCAATATATTTCAGTATTTAAATTCTTTGTCAAGTGCAATAATTTTACAATTTATTGAAGTATGTAAGATAGGGAAGAATTGTAAATAAATAATGGTACAACAGTTGTTAATCAATGACCAATTTATTTTAGAAACATTGATTGAATTTTAATTAGCTAAATGCCTAAGTCTAATTCTTTAAATAAGATCAACATACAACCAGTTGATATTTACCTAAGATAAAAATACCCAAAAATTAAGGAAAGTACTAAATATTGATGAAACTAACCATCAATGACAAAAGTCAGTAATAATTGTTGTTTTTGGTTATTCAATTAAGTTATAAGGTCGCCAAGTCATTATTTAACACTATAAAGGGTTATCTTAAATTCCAAGACTCCTTCTCAACTTTGATCGAAAGATAGAACATGAAAAGTAGGTTTAAAACACTCATCAGAGTTAAAATGTATTTCTATCATCCAATAACTTTACCAAGAGATTTCTTCTTAGGTGCATCTACGCTAGGTTGAATATCCTATTAAAGATCTAGGCATTTTGTTTTATCTTTGCCTCCTTAGTCAAATCTGTTTAATCATTAGCTTTTGTTGCTTAGATTACTTTTCAAGTCTTCAAGATGAATGCTACAATTACGAATGCTTAAATATTTTTAGCAGTCTCTTAAAATTAATAAAACTGATATAAATATTGAAAGGATTAGAAATATTTTCAGTATAGTTAAATATTATTATGAATTGCTGATCAGGTCCTAGAACTCAATTCTTCTGGCTTTGATTATGGTTACTTTACGAACCTCCTAAATTTGAGATACGTAAAAATGTGCCATTCCCTAAATCCGTCTGTATTATATGAGCCTAAATTAAATTCCTCATTAAAGGATTTTAGCTTTATACATTATAAATATACCTTACATAAACTGAATAATCTGCATTATTTATTATTTGTAATTGAAAATACATAGAAAAAACATTATAAGGGTTTAATTTTGACTCATGGCTTTATTTTAAAGTATTGATTATTGTGATCTTTAGTGTAGCCTTTACGAGTGATTTTCGTTCATGATATTTCGTGCTAAATATTTATTTGCGATAACACTGCTATAATAAATTGCAAAACTATTTTCATTTCATTCCTAATCAATAGACATCTGAAATATAAATTAATCTATCAAGGTTCCCTAATTACTCTATCCCTTTAATAGGAATTTTTATTTGATTTTATTAAATAAATAATAAATTTATATTTTCTTTATTAATAAAACTATAGTAATGATTGTTAAAGGTGAAAAGTAACTTCCGAATATACAATCAACATGTTTTTATAATTAATTTCTTCAATAATAAACCATTTAATTCCATAAATAATTTATTTTCACTCTTAAATATCAAAAAATGTTTAGCAAGAATTAATTCTTATCTTTCCAGGCAAAATTAATATACATAGATATCATTTGATAATGCTTATTTTTAGCTTGATAAGAAATTATTAGAATAAAATTGGTATTTTTTAAATGATATTATAATAATACATAGTAAAAATGAAGCATTTTAAGTTTCCAACCAGATTTCTATTTTATTATGTATAACCTCAAGTGTAAGGAAAGCCTTAATTTTATTTTCAAAGGCTCAATTTAATTTAGGAGAATCAGTTCTGATAAATTTTTTTGAGTTTACCTCCAAAATCGATAGATATTTGTTTCTTATTAATTCTTAAATTTGATCCTTTTTAGAGATTGGATGTAGAATTAAAATTTAGATAATCTAAACATATACCAAAAAAATATAAAAACCAGAAATTAATTTAAACAAAATTTATTGTAATTCATTTAAGGCTAATTGATAAAGAATATTAAGAGAAACATTTATTAAAGCGATTCAGAGATTTCTAGGCGTAAGAATTTATGCATAAATAATTAAGATTATTTTGTGAATCCAAATCTATTAATATAATTTTAGAATCTATACAAAATTGCCACAAATTTAAGAGACAATAATGTTAATTCAAGCAGAATGTTTTATATTCAGAATAACATTCTGGAATTGAATTATTAATATGGTTAAATGATTCATTCTAATTTTAACATAAACAACAAAAAATACCAAAATATCTTTTACTGATTTACAATAAAAAAATTACTTATCAAAGATACTTATTATAGTTAAGTTAAATTTAGGAATAAGAAAACAGTATGTTCAAATAGAAGTTTATGATAAGTTGGGGAACTTAGAAGTTAAACCTAAGATGGCCTTTGCTATTGTCTACATAAAGTGAAAAAGCCTAATTGTGGTTTAAATGTATTAGATAAGAACTGATTTATAGAAAATGAGGAGCATTAACTCTACTCATATTTTGTTTCGCTTTTATTGAGTACTATACTGATA